TAACTATAGCCATGAAAGCTTACTCATTTCTACAGCCTGACTTCTCAGTAGACTTATTTATTGAACAGATACTTACACTGGGCACCTATGTGCCAGGAACTCTCCTGAGTTCTGGGGATACAGTGAACAAACCTGATAAAAACCTCACCCTTAGGAAGCTTTGTCCTGTGGTCCAGGTTTATATTTTCACTTAGTTACTAGGCATCTTTATCTGGAAAAATATCCCCCATAGTGACCCCTTTGGGACCTCACAGCCATCTTCCAAACTGGGCATTATCTTCCTTTCTCCTTCTTGTCATGCTCTCGCCCACTTTAGAAAGCTGAAAGTTACCACACACCACCTTCCTTCACTGTTACTTGCACACCCAAGCAGTCACTGAGTCCTGTGCCTTCCGCCTCCTAAACATCTGCCCCTGTGCCTTAGTCATCACCTTCATTCAGGCCTTCAGCATTTCTCACCCACTGTTGCAGTAACTTCCATTGTGTCGGCCTCACACCGGGATCTATCTTCACTAATGCACTCTGCTTTGCACACCGCTACCAAAGGAGTCTTTCTAACACATAAACTTTTTGCCGTGCTCCTGCCTAAAGCCTTTCATGGCTCTCCACTGCCTGCATTTAGGTCTGTTACCCATAAAGCCTTACCAAGCAACTGGTAGCTCCCTAGAAGCAACCCACTCTGATCAAGCCTTCGTGCCTGGATACATGCTATTCCTTGTATTTCATACACCCATCTCACTCCTCTCTCCTGCCAGTAACTTCCTACTTATTATTTAAGGCTCAACATAAGCACCGCTTCTTCATTAAATGGTTGTTCTCAGTGCCTGTTCACATTTTTATATGTATTATTCATAAACGTTTGTGCTTATGTGACCTTATGCCATTTTATCTTTCCAGCCTAGCTTAGTGTCCCCCAGCACTTCCTGTGGCTCACTGACTGAAAGACTACTGAGACACAATGCTGAGCTCACAGGACATATCAGCCAACTGACTGAGGAAAAGAATGGTTTAAGAAATCTGGTTATGAAGCTGGAAGAGCAGATCAGATGGTATCGACAGACAGGAGCCGGCAGAGATTATGTTCGTATATTTTTAGCGTGGCCACATTAGAAGTTGTGCACAGTTATAATTTCTGCTATCTACTTTTCAATTTTTAGCCCTGAGAATGTAAAAATGTTAAGTATCTGATTCTTGGTAGGGTCACTGGAAATTTTATAGGGATGACAATAATAATAATAGTTATTATTTATTGGGAGCCTTCTCTGTGCCAGATTCTATGTTATATGCATTCAGAATCTAATCCACACCCAGCCTTGCACATGAGAAAACTGAAGTCAGTAGTCGAACCAACATCAACTGATCTCCAAAGCTAGATACTTTGCTACCTATCGGCCAGCAGTGGACACATGTTAAAGAAATGTTCATATTTGAATTCTGACTGTTCTCATCAGTTATCTATTAGTTATTGTGTTCATAACTCAAGTGAAAGATGCCATTAAATTATATATTCAATCTAAGAAACCATGGGAATTTATTTAAATTTTTTTTTCATTTAAAAACTACAAAATAAATTGATAGCTTCTGTAATCGCCCAGTATAAAAACAGGGAAGACCTGTAAAACAGCTATGCAGTCAAATACACAATCACACACCCACACAGCTTCTGTGGGGATCCACTTTCCTGGGTACCTGCCAGGTGGTTTCCCCCCGCTTCTCCAGTATACTATTTCAGGCCCAGGCTCAACATTTGGACCCAAATGGTCCATCCATTATTTCCCTAGACTTTTTCAGTTCAAAGCTCTGCTAAATCGAAATGCCTTCTTGGTGACCAAACTTTCACAAGGATTTTTTTGCTGCAAAGTTAATTTGCTCAGCAAAGGGCATATACTTACAGCTAATGTATATTCTTTAATGAGATTGGCTTTGGACTTGCCCTGAGGTTGGAAAGCTGAGACTTCTATTTCCCCCATAGGCATTCCTTTAATATGTTTAAGTCAGATTTTTCCTTTAGAGACTCGCTCTTAAAAATCAATTAAGTAGGCTCTGGTCTCTGCAGTCTTCTAGGTTTTCATTCAGTGGTGGCGCCAACATCGAAGCCATCATTGCTTCGGAAAAAGAAGTGTGGAACAGAGAGAAGGTATCTCTTCAAAAATCCTTGAAGAGGGCAGAAGCTGAAGTATACAAACTGAAAGCTGAACTAAGAAATGAAGCTTTACTTCAAAACCTGAGCCCTGATTCTGAGCATGCCGCTATAAAGGTGGGAGACATGTTTCATTTAAACATTTACCGAATGAAGCTCGTCCTCTGCTTTTGCCTTGTTTTGCCTCTCAGTCCCCTGAAATCCAAAATAAACCAGAAGCATAACTATATGGTTAATATTCAGATTCCGTGACTAAAAAGAGGCAGTAGTGTAAGGTTAAGGTTAATTACCTTTACTTTCAACTTTGCTAAAAAAGTAGAAGTGATAGAAGGTACCTGACATTCTACTACTGCTACTTTTTAAAAATTAGAATCTAGGTTATCTTCCCCTAGAGAATAATTTGAATGACTTCTTAATAATGTCTTTATGTTCTTCCCTTCTTTAAACATAGAGAATTTATGGTAAATACCTGAGGGCAGAAAGTTTTCGGAAAGCTCTCATTTATCAGAAGAAATACCTGCTGCTGTTACTGGGTGGCTTCCAGGAATGTGAAGATGCCACCCTCGCTCTGCTTGCCCGGATGGGGGGGCAGCCAGCCTTCACGGAACTAGAGATGATCACCAACCGTCCAAAGGGTTTCACCAGGTTTCGGTCGGCTGTCAGAGTGTCTATGGCAATTTCAAGGTAAAGCACTTGGAAGGGATACGTGATGTTGTCCTGTGGAGACCCTATGAAAACGGCCTTTGCAGCTGCAGGCAGCTGGTGACTTGGAGCTGGAACATCCAATCTGATTGTCTCTTTTTTTTTCTAAACCTGAATAAGCCCTTGAACTAGCTCAGACATATAAGTAAAGAGATAAGAGGGGAAAAAATGTTTTTGAAAAATCACTTAGGCTGATATACATTCACTTTCTTCATTCCTTAAATAACCCACTCTTGGGGCCCAACTACAGAAAGCCCTGGCCTCTACATTTAGGCCAGAGATTCGCCTTTAGGGCACTGGACTCTGCCAGTCCTTTTGTTCCTCTTTCTCTAGGAGTTCCAAGCTAGGAACACGTACTCATTCTGTATCTGGTTGAAATGGAGTCAGAACTCAAACTACCTTGCAAACCTGGCCTCCTGCCGTCCTCCAGCCTCGGTGGTATATACCCACGTACCTAGGCTTCTCCATGCTGCCCCTCCCTTTCATTTCTCTAGGAGCCCGACACGCTCAGAGAAATTTGGTTTTTAAAGTTCTTCCTATTGGGTCACCTTCAATGGATTTTGCCTGTATTTCTTTACCAGTTTTTCTTTGAAAAATATGATGCAGAGTTTTGTAACTAGAAGCTGTCTGAGATCACATAGCCCAGAATGTCATTCACAGATGAGGAAACTGAGGCAGAGTGAGGTTGCAAAGCCAGTGGAGATAGAGCTGGGACTGCCAGCCGGGGCTCCCGAGCTCATCCACATTGGCGCTAGAGGAAGCTCACGTTGTATCTTACTGATGGCCTTAGACTCTCCCTGCCTCGACTAGTCCACATTGTAGCCACGTGGCTCCAGTTCCTCCTTTCTCGTCTTTCATTCCCTTCATCATCGTCACCTTGTATACCTTGTACAGGGTTAAGATGCATCGATCAAAAAAGACATAACCCTGACCTAAATCCCTAAAGGCAGCTCACTTCCTAGTGGGAAAGACCAACATGCCCATAAATTAGAAGACACTATATGAGAGGTCACAGGAATCATCCACTAATTTTGTATTTTTTTTAAAGATTTTTATTAAAATACAGCTAACATACAATATTATGTTTCAGGGGTACATCACAGTTATTCAACATTTATACCTACAGAAGTAATCGCCATGATAAGCCCAGCAACCATCTGACACTGTACCATGCTATCACAATATTATTGACTATATTCCCTAAGCTGCACGTTACATCCCCGTGACTTGTTTTCTACCTGAAAATTTGGACCTCTTACTCCCTTTCACGTGCCCCAAACCCCACCCTGCTTTTTAAATTTTTTCAATTAACAGTTGACATTCAGTATTATTTTATACTAGTTTCAGGTGTACAGCATAGTAGTTAGACATTTGTATAATTTACAAAGCGATTTACCTGGCTAGTCTAGTACCCACCTGGCACAATACATAGTTATTACTATATTACTGACTATATTCGCTATGCTTTACATCCCCATGACTGTTTCATAACTACCAATTTTTATTTAATTCCTCCACCTTTTTCACCCATCTCCCCAACCCGCACCCGCGCCCCCTGCCCCACCCCCAGTCTGGCAGCCATCAGCTTGTTGCCCAGATCTACGAGTCTGTTTCTGTTTTGTTTGTTCATTTATTTCATTCTTTAGATTCCACATGTAAGTGAGATCATATGGTATTTCTTTCTCAGTCTGACTTATTTCACTTAGCATAGTACCTTCCAGTTTCATCCATGTTCTTGCAAATGGTAAGAATTCATTCTTTTTTATGACTAATATTTTATTGTATATATGTACCACATCTTTATCCAGTCGTCTGTTAATGGGCATTTAGGTTGCTTCCATATCTTGGCTGTTGTAAATAATGCTGCTGTGAACATAGGGTTGTATATATCTATCTGCCATCTTGATTGGAACCACCATTAATTTCAACTGGAAGAATTTAGGAAGTTTCCATAAAGCTAGCTGCCATTGAAGGACTTCACTCGAACTCTCTCTCTTTTCCTCTTATATGTTCATTGTATTTTGACCCTCCTAAAACTGAGCCTTGAAACTGATTGGAGTTACGAAATCAAATTGATGCTCCAAAAGCTCCGTGAGCCGGGGCAAGGCTGGCAGCAACGTGCTGCGGCTGGTTTATGACACTAGCATAACCCTGTTCTTTTTGAAGCCAACATTGTTTTTCATCGCTGATTACACTGCCTCACTCCTTTCTGCTCTCCCAGCTCACTCTTTTTTCAATTTAAGGGTCTTTTCATTCTCTTTCCACCTCGGCTGCCTTTTCTTCTCTTTTCAGTACTTCTCACCCTGTCTTGGCTCATCTACTTCTCTCCCCTTTTGCTCTCCATCTCTCTGTGCCCCGTGTGCCCCTAAAGCTCTAGAGTCTGATGGCAACACAAGACACACCTCTGATGCCTCTAGGGAAGCGCTCTTCTTCTGTCAACTTTGTCACAAACCAGGGGACATGTGCATATTCTAGATTAGTTAACCATGTGATATTAAACTTGTTCTATGTTCATATATAAATGTAGGACTTGATTTTCATGAGAAGTGTATATTTATACCCTCTACATTATAGATGTGCTGTAAATTATTTTCTTGGGATCTTTTTTAGAATGAAATTTTTGGTTCGACGGTGGCATCGAGTCACAAGTTCTGGTTCTATCAATATTAACAGGGATGGCTTTGGATTGAATCCAGGTAAAGTCAGAATGGAATTTTTTCATATGTTTATGATTGTCTAAAATTACTGCATGTGTAATAACTTCCAAATAATGTGTTCTGGAACCTGTGTTGTCCAAAGACAGAGACCTTATCACTAACAAAGCTGGGGACCTTGCTGTTTTAAAGAGTAATAATAACTGATTTTTGTGGAGACTTAGTCTGCACTAGGCCCTGCTTTTTTCATGTATTATGTATTCTCCCAGTCCTGTGATACAAGTACAGTGACTGGTATTCTCACTTTACAGATGAAAAACCGAGGCATGGAAAGCATTTGTCATTTGCCCCAGGTTACCCAGTAGGAAGTGGTAGGGCCGGTTAAACCCTGGCCATAGGGCTCTAGAACCCACTCTCCGTACGACTGCATTTGAGGCTCTGGTTCAAGATGGGGATTGCTCTTCTCAGTCATGTGAAAGAATTATGCTTTTAAGCTTTCTCAAGTTAGCAATATTCAAACAGGTTTCTGAGTTCACCAGTAGGTTGTATAATAATGGTTAAAATGGTTAACAGTTAAAATTCCTTCTCGCTACAACTAGAAGCAAAAACAAACCTTAGGGCTTTAACATTTCAGGCATAAGGATGTCAGAAGCTGGAGACAGACACAGCATAACTGTGCTGTGCTTTGCTGTTAAACCACCTTTACATGTCCTACCAGTAGCTGAGCATGCGCAGCCGAGAAAGAGGAAATGTATTTGGTACCCTAAGCGAAGTGTTTTGAAATGGGACTCCTTAGCTGAAATCTGTAGCATAATGAGTTCTGTGTTGAAAGTTAGTATATCTTGATTTCAAGTTTTTTCTAATAAAAATTACTAGAATGGCTTGACTACATTAGCCTCATATATTTTTTTAAATACATCAGCTTTTCCCCAAAATACATGCTCAGGCACCCTTCACTTCACCTCTAGTTATAACTACTTATTTTTAAAAGAAAATTCTTTAATTAAATAGTTTATTTTCTTTGAGGTATAGTGCCATATTAGCAGAAACACTCATATTGAAAGGTAAACAGAATAACAGTTGTACTGTTGTTTCTCTCCTGTAGCCAGAATCATTGAAAATGACTGTAAAGAGGAGATTGTGTAGTGTAATGCAGTAGAGTCGTCTTTTGAGTCCTTATCTGTTTTGTAGAAATTTTTCAAGGGCTTGTTATTTCTTTTTAACAAGCTATGTTTTGGATTACTTTAGGTGCTGAAAAGACTGACCTGTTTTATCATTCTTCTGGTGGCCTGGAGATGTATGGAGAGCCGAGGCACACTACATATCGCTCACGATCAGATCTGGACTATCCTAGGTCTCCTTTACCATTTCAAAATAGGTGAGAATGTGATAAAAGCTGCCTAGAGTGGTTAAATATACTACTGCTTAACAGAGGAAGAAAGCTAGCGTTAGGGCTTTGACTTCTTTGCATTGAAATAGCTAGATGTATCTTCAGTTATATATGATTTACATAACCTAAGGCTCAGAATGAGAAATAGCCTTTGAATTTGTAACCATTTTCGAAGGATATAAGAAACAGAGCTGGTTAAGAGTTATTTAGGATATGCTGTGGGTTAGACATTGGGGAAAGTATTGAGTAAAATGGATAGTCTCTGGACTTTGTGAAAACAACTCTGAAGTCGACATGATAAGATGTATTGATACATATACAACATTTATTGAGGACCTCTGTGATGGTCATTGTCCTGGACATTCTTATGATGACTTGGTAGGTGCTACTTTGAATTTATTGAGAAACTTTTTCCTTTATACAGAGCGGACTCAGAAGTGTAAGGTATATACCATATTTCCCCATGCATAAGACGCACCTTAATTTTGGGGCCCGAAATTTGAAAAAAAAAGTATTACATAAAGTTATTGAACTCAAGTTTTATTCATCATAAAATTCATACAACTCCTCACACTGTCAAAACTCCCAACCATTAGCTTGTCCTCATCTGTGTCTGATGACGAATCAGTCTTCATATATTGCCTCGTCCTCAGCGGGAAATGCAAGTAAAAAAAATCTACAACCACTGTATAAGACGCATCCAGTTTTTAGACCCCAAATTTTGGGGGAAAGGGTGCGTCTTATACATGGGGAAATACGGTAGATCAAGCAATGTATAAACAAGCGGTCTCCCTTTTGAGGGCTGGTTGCTAAGTTACTTGATTTTTTCCTGGATAATTTGGATTTGTGTTTATATTTTTTATCTCATAGGTACCCAGGCCCTCCAGCTGATTTAAATCCTGGTTCCTTAGCATGTTCTCAGCTTCAGCATTATGATCCTGACAGAGCCCTAACAGATTACATCACTCGGCTAGAGGCCCTGCAGAGACGACTAGGGACTGTACAGTCAGGTAACCCAGCTTAACTATGTACTGGCAGCAGCAGAGGCTGTGTGGACCCACCCTTCACCTTTCTCTTTTGGAATTCCTTGTCCTTCCTCATTAGGGTAATCAAATCTTACAGTTCAGTGCATCAGTTACCACGTTAGACTTAGGAATTTAAGTCAGGACATGATTTATCTATCACCCCAGATCCCACTCCTCCAGAAAGATTCCTGCTATCTTCATTCAGCAGATTGATTAAAGAAAATGCACAGTGAGCACCAAAGTCCTCTAAGGCTTGCAGAGGTGGCTGGAGAACATGCTCCTAAGTAATGCCTTTTCCTAAATAATGCATGCAAATGAAGGGGTGGGGAAATCAGAGGAAGCAGCAAGTACTTCAGCATTTAATGCGGTCATTGTTCCTATTAGGACCTTGTGCTTTTATGTGTGGTCCATAAAACCCACCCCCTTCAAAAGACTTGACAAAAATGGCCTTTCATTTTTCTCTGCTCAAAAACACAAAAATTCTGTACTTAATAGAAATGGATTCCCTGTTCATTGTGGGAAAACCTCTTTTCCTTGTCTCCCTTCAGTTCACTCCTGATTCAGAGGTTTTGAATCACTTTAATGTGCCTGAAGTTAACATTTATTTATATTTTGTTCTTACTTTTATTACAGACCCATTTTTAAAACTAATCCCACAAACTAGATAGGGCTAATAGCAGGTTATTTCAAGGTAGTGATTTATCTTTTCATATAAGAAATCATCTAACCCAAGCAACTTGTCGTCATAGGAAACTTTATTATCATAGCTGGACTTTGTGTTGGTTGTATTTTGTTTTGAGCATCCAAATTTCACAAGACCCAGATTTTGAAACCACAAGATTTTTCAAGAGGGCAGGAAGTATAGAACTTGCAACCTGCAGGGCACTTGAGTCTTAACATTAGTCTCATTTACCTTGTTATAGAGCCAGCCACACTGACTTCTAAATATATATTCAAAATCTTTTACAAATCAGTTCAAGTATGAATAAGACTTTTTTACAAAAATAAGAAGCATTTTTTTTAAATGGAGGGTAACCACAAGATTGCCACAGGGATATGAAAGACAGTTTGGGGAATATAATCAATAATGTTGTAAAGATTTTGTAGGGTATCAGATCGACACTTGTCTTATTAGGGAGTCCACTTCATGGGTGGTGTAGGTGCCTGACCACTGCGCTGTACACCTGAAGCTGAATAATAATGAATGTCAACTATAATTTATTTAGTCGTAGAATGTGGAGTACAGCATAAGGATTAGAGTCAATGGAATTGTAACCGCTACATACGATGTCAGAGGGATTAGTAGATTGGGGAAGGGCGGGTTATCACCTTGTGAGGGGTGTAAATGTCTAACTCTTACATTGTTTTGTACACCTGAAACTAATAAAAAAGTAAAATAAAATGGAGGGTAGTAGTAACCTTCTGCCCTTCATGAACTAATTAGTCTGGAATAAGTAGCAGTCTAATTTGAAATCATTTAAATAGATCTTTTTCTCTCATAGGTTCAGCTCATTTTCATGCTGGCATGAGAAGATAATCTTTTGAAACATCAGGAATTGAAGTGATTTTAAGCAAATTCCCTTTTGTAAATCAATGGTTCTTTTGTGTTTTTGTATTGTGGATATGGGACCAGTACAAACACAGCTTATGATTGTATACACATCCCTTGCCAGCACATTAAAACAAACTGGAGTTTGTACATACAGGCACTGTGTATGGATTCATGCACAATAATCGTTAAATTACATGTATATTTGTGGAATGCTAATTTAAATGGTTAAATTATAAACCTTGTGTATTTATCAAATGGNATCACTTTAATGTGCCTGAAGTTAACATTTATTTATATTTTGTTCTTACTTTTATTACAGACCCATTTTTAAAACTAATCCCACAAACTAGATAGGGCTAATAGCAGGTTATTTCAAGGTAGTGATTTATCTTTTCATAGAAGAAATCATCTAACCCAAGCAACTTGTCGTCGTAGGAAACTTTATTATCATAGCTGGACTTTGTGTTGGTTGTATTTTGTTTTGAGCATCCAAATTTCACAAGACCCAGATTTTGAAACCACAAGATTTTTCAAGAGGGCAGGAAGTATAGAACTTGCAACCTGCAGGGCACTTGAGTCTTAACATTAGTCTCATTTACCTTGTTATAGAGCCAGCCACACTGACTTCTAAATATATATTCAAAATCTTTTACAAATCAGTTCAAGTATGAATAAGACTTTTTTACAAAAATAAGAAGCATTTTTTTTAAATGGAGGGTAACCACAAGATTGCCACAGGGATATGAAAGACAGTTTGGGGAATATAATCAATAATGTTGTAAAGATTTTGTAGGGTATCAGATCGACACTTGTCTTATTAGGGAGTCCACTTCATGGGTGGTGTAGGTGCCTGACCACTGCGCTGTACACCTGAAGCTGAATAATAATGAATGTCAACTATAATTTATTTAGTCGTAGAATGTGGAGTACAGCATAAGGATTAGAGTCAATGGAATTGTAACCGCTACATACGATGTCAGAGGGATTAGTAGATTGGGGAAGGGCGGGTTATCACCTTGTGAGGGGTGTAAATGTCTAACTCTTACATTGTTTTGTACACCTGAAACTAATAAAAAAGTAAAATAAAATGGAGGGTAGTAGTAACCTTCTGCCCTTCATGAACTAATTAGTCTGGAATAAGTAGCAGTCTAATTTGAAATCATTTAAATAGATCTTTTTCTCTCATAGGTTCAGCTCATTTTCATGCTGGCATGAGAAGATAATCTTTTGAAACATCAGGAATTGAAGTGATTTTAAGCAAATTCCCTTTTGTAAATCAATGGTTCTTTTGTGTTTTTGTATTGTGGATATGGGACCAGTACAAACACAGCTTATGATTGTATACACATCCCTTGCCAGCACATTAAAACAAACTGGAGTTTGTACATACAGGCACTGTGTATGGATTCATGCACAATAATCGTTAAATTACATGTATATTTGTGGAATGCTAATTTAAATGGTTAAATTATAAACCTTGTGTATTTATCAAATGGTTGAAAAGATTAAACTTTTGCGCATTATGACACTGCTGAATGTGTAGCTTGAGGTGTCTGCACTTTTCTTACAAGGCTACTGAAGTTACATGTTTCTGCCTAATATATTTGCTACTGGTGATGACGACAGATATCACTTGTAGAGACCTATTTTTGTATAATGGTAGAAGTTTTGAATTTTATGGGGTATTTTGTCAAGTACTGAAATAAAAATGACTTCACCATTTTAACCATACTGTATTTGAACCCTCTTCATTTTAACTGAGCCGTAGTTCTTGGTGCATAGTTCTTAGTCCACTCAGGATGCTATAACAAAATACCATAGACTGGGTGCCTTAAAAACAACTGAAATTTATTTCTCACCATTCTGGAGGCTGGGAACCAGATTCAGTGAACCAGATTCAGCAGGTGGGGGCCTGCTTCCTGGCTCATAGACACTCATCTTCTTGCTGTCCTCACATGGCAAAAGGAACATACGTGAGAGCCCTCTATTCATAAGAGCTCCACCATGATGTAATCACCTCCCAAAGGCCCCATTTCCAAATGCCAACAAATTGGGGGTTAGGATTCAACATGAATGGGGGCAGGGGGGACCACAAACATTCAGTCCGTGGCAGTGCATATTGTCTCATTACGGATAGGTCCTAATCTTATAGGTACTATTGGGCTCTTTCTCTCCTATCGCAGAAGAATTTTCCATGTGCCTTTGTATCAACTTTACATCTTATATATAGTATTTTTTAAAAGCTGTACAGGTATTTTTATGATTAACCCTTATTTTCCCTGTTATATTTAGCATTACCTATGTCCTCACGAAGCTATGTGCACTAAGATGNAAATTGCTAGCCAGTCACATGGAGTGTAACCAATGATCGAACTAGAAATTGGGTTCTTCAACAGAAAATAGAAGGAGAAACAAAGGAATCGAGCTATCCTAAAGAGATTGAAATGAATGGAGGGGGAACTGGCTATAATCATGAATTAGAAATGATCCGACAAAAGCTTCAACATGTGGCTTCAAAACTACAACGTCTAGCCCAGAAAGCCTCCAAAAGGTTAGACCTTCCTGCCCGACCTCTGGCAAAGGCACTCTTAGACAAGCTGGACTGAATCGGTCCCTCACTAATAGCTCGCCCACGGTGGGGAATTGAAAATTTTAATGTCATTGCCTGTTTACATTAGGAAGTGATATTCTTAAACAAAACTCATACACCTGACGACAAATTTCTTAAAACCTTGACCCAGGGAAAGAAAACACTTAATATAAGAGAGGAGTGATGGGTGCAGCAGAGTTGCCTGTTCCATAATGCTCTGCTAGTCAGCACCACTAATTGAGATGTTTTGATTTCTTGTCTCTTTTTGAAGACTACAGTTTGAAACGGCAGATGATGAAGATTTCATTCAGGTTCAGGAAAATATTGATGGAATTATTTTACAACTACAAAAATTGACTGGCGAGCCAGGCAAAGAGGTAAGACTTTTTAAACACTCTTTGTAAATTATCGAGAGCAAAGATTTAATGGAAACTATAGGAAGTGTTTGAAACTGGCCCTGTATTTTCTAGAGTTTTACTTTTATCTTCTCATTTATTTTAAA